GAGCTCCGCTACTAATGATAATGTTACAAACAATATTACTGTCAGTGGCCCAAGCATTTCGCCTCAAGTTATTCTTGGTTCATTAGTATTCATTTCTACTTTTGGGTGGAGAGAGGTATTATCTGGGGTAAAAACACAACAAGCTCAGTCCAACATGTTAATAATCAGGCTAGCCATGTGCATAGCCACTTACTTTCACTTTTACCACCAATAGATCCCAAAACTCCCTGACTTTGTTTCTGTCCTGATAGCTCCACACAAACTAAACGGCCACCTTGCTTGCAATATTGTGAAATCTACCATACACAAACAAACAAAACAATGATTAACAACTTGCAGTATCGACTGAGTTGAAAGAACAGTCAGAACCTTAACAAATACTGGGGTCTTTGAACATGAAAAAAAAATCCCTTGCATGGGGGAGGTATGGATATTTTCTGGAAAATATTTCTCTCACAGAAACTTGACAAAGGGAAAAATGATGAGTTGGACCCTGAGGGTTAAAAATTTACATACCACTGAAATGATGCCAGATTGATTAGCAACATCATTGCCTCGACCAGATAACTGATCCAACAAGCCTGCCCGCTCAACAGTTTGAATACTTGACTTTACTACCAACAGTTGCCAGGAGTGATACACTGGAACCCTGATTGACAACAACACCAAATTATATGAGTGGAACAAAAAGGCTTCTTTAAAGAAATCTCACAGCCAGAATCCAGCCTGGTCATAACTTGAGAACTTCAAAAACAAGTCATCAAGCCTTTTCTACTTTTAGCTGTATCTTTTAGGGGTCAAATAAAGTTTAGGTCAAGCCCAGATTGGTTTCCTTTAGGAGTTTAAATCACATTTTCCGATAAGCATCCCTGATCTTTTCATATGGGAGTTCCCCCCCTGGGACTTCTGTTTACCTGAAGACCACCTTGTCACATAATGTGCAGTTCCAAAAAATATCCATACTCCCCCCCACAGAAGGGATTGGAATTTCCTGGGGGGTGGGGGGTTCTGGAAGACCAAAAAATTGAAAGAAATGTATGAAGCTTAACTGGAATTTCCAGCGGGGCGGGGAGGTGTTAGAAAAAAATCCCTTCCCTGTGGAAGGTATGGATATTTTCTGGAACTACACAATAGGAAACAGTAAAAAATTGCCAAAATACAAGTTACATTTAATTTTATTTCTTTTGTTATTCCCATACCCTTGGGGTCTTGAGAAGATTCCTTGATATGGTGTTTCATTTGAATTCCATCCTATCTTGCCAACTCCTGGCATGGCCTTGAATGTTTCAAGAATAAAGCCTTGCTGGTAAGGTTCACCAAGCTTGTTATACTTGCTGGTAACATCTGAAGCAA